ACAAGAGAGAGAGAGTGAGAGAGTGAGAGAGAGAGAGAGAGAGAGAGAGAGAGAGAAGAGAGAGAAAGAGAGAGAAGAGAGAGAGAGATGGGTAGGAGGGAAAGAGGGTGGCCCCAGACCTCTCCCTCTTTCTCCCTCTCTCTTCCCCATCTCTCCTCTCAGAGCCAGTGGAAGGCCAACAAACCATCTGATTCATGTGGGGCGACATGAGGAGGAGCCCGTCTCATTTGCAAGGAGCAGAAGAAAAGGCGCCTTGCCTGGGAGCAGAGCAGAATCTTAATGCTGTTCCTCCGGACTGATCTCCCTCCAGAACCACAGGGACTCCAGCTCTGTTTGCCTGCACACACGGCACACCCCACCTCACCATTCAGGCCTTTTAGACCCTTTCTGTTACTGCCGGTTTCAACCCCTTTCCCCTCTCTCCTATGTGAGCTACCCTACCCCAGACCCCCTTGCACTCCCAGCCTACTCTCTATGCAAATGAGCACACCCCAAATTCTGAACATTCAGTTGGATACACCTCATCCCCCACCCATAACAAAACTCACACAGCAGCCCCCTCCTACTCCACTAGATCAAGTGCGCCCCATCAACTCAATGATATGGGCCCCCAGTCAGCTCAATCACGTATAAATCCCCACGTCCCATTACTTAATCTCAGTCCTCACATGGAGCTCAGGGACCCGGGACCCCATCCCCTCTGCCCCTCTTTGCCAACAAAGAGCCCATTGATAACAGCAGAACCCGGGGGAACGGCAGTCCCAATGGCCCATGGGTCTCATCTCACCTCACACTCACAGACTACGCCCACACACAGCATGCAGTGTACTAATCACTGATGTACAGTATCACTGATGTGCATGCTAGCATTAGCACAGGACCTCTCACGTATTATAGGACATTGTATGTAGTTGTTAGTGGTGGAAGGTTCAGTTGTGAAGTCGTAATATGCCAGTTGTGGCTGCAGAGGTCCAGTCCCCGCTGGTGCCCAATGTATGTGTGTGTCTGTGTGTGTGCTGGGAGCTTAACTGGAGCAGACAGGCAGGCTGAATCACTGACTATGACTCAGCACCACTGGGTCCAAACTGAGTGTGGTCACAAAGAGGGGCCTGGGGAGGCAGTTTAGTCTCTGTCCTGCAGTTTGCCTGTCAGCACTAATGCTGGGGCCCCAGCGGCCCAGAGACATACCTCACAGACAGAACTGCATACCATACAGACCCAGACACCTAGCACACGAAAACAGAACCGTATACCTCCCAAACACTACCACTGACCACAATAACATGCTGACTACAATAACTCACTGACCACAATAACACTACCACTGACCAAAATAACACTACCACTAACCACAATAATACTACTACTGATCACAATAACACTACCACTGATCACAATAACACTACCACTGATCACAATAACACTACCACTGACCACAATAACACTACCACTGACCACAATAACACTACCACTGATCACAATAACACTACCAGTGACGACAATAACACTACCACTGTACCACAATAAACACTAACCAGTGACGACAAATAACACTACCACTGACCACAATAACACTTACCAGTGACGACAATACACTACCACTGACCACAATAACACTACCAGTGAACGACAATAACACTTACCAGTGACAAACAATAACACTACCAGTTGATGACAATAACACTTACCACTGGACCACAATAAACTACTACTGATCACAATAACACTAACCACTGATCACAACTCACACCACTTACCACCCTGACCACAATAACACTCACCCAGTGGACGGACAATAACACTACCACTGACCACAATAACACTACCAGTGACGGACAATCAACAATCCCCTGACCACAATAACACTACCAGTGACGACAATAACACTACCACTGACCACAATAACACTACCAGTGACGACAATAACACTACCAGTGACGACAATAACACTACCAGTGACGACAATAACACTACCAGTGACGACAATAACACTACCAGTGACGACAATAACGCTACCACTGACCACAATAACACTACCACTGACCACAATAACACTACCACTGATCACAATAACTACCACTAACCACAATAACACTACCACAATAACACTACCACTGACTACAATAACACTACCACTGACCACAATAACACTACCACTAACCATAATAACACTACCACTGACCACAATAACACTACCACTAACCACATCAACAGACCTGCAGGCCACATGGAGAGGTGCAGTGCAGGTGTAGGGGAAGGTTATGTAACTGGTATCAGATCCTGGTAATCAGGGGCCACGGGTCAGATACACAGGAAGAAAATGGCACAAGCAAGCAGCATGCTAAAACTGATGTACAGTATCACTGATGTGCATGCTAGCATTAGCACAGGACCTCTCACGTATTATAGCAAGCAGCATGCTAAAACACACACAGAAAAAGTGCATTACCAGGAAAACAAAGCAATAAAGCATTATCTGCCATCCATCCCCTTGTCACAGTAGCTCAGAAAAGGAACCTTTGTTTGGTCCAAGCTTTTCTCTGTCCCATGGCCACACAGATAGGTTAACAGAGCTCTCTCCGCCTCCTCTTCTGTCTTAAAGGGAGGGAGAAAGCGATGGAGCAAGCATCAATCGGGTTGCTTCTTTCTCCCAACAATGAGCTCTATTCAGTGAGATGTCCTTTTATTTACTGGACTTGGCCCGTCTGACTTTCCAACCTGCTGGCTGCTCAAAGATAATGAAGACAGGCTTGGAAAGACTAGCCAGTGTCTTCCAGAGCCGCCGGCCCCAAAACATCTCATACAATACCAAACACACCTCCATCAGAGCGGTGCACATGACTGGAACGTGCACAAAACATTATGCAAACAAACAAGTAACCAGTTCAGAATATTGGACCAGAGACAAAGAACATTTATTTGTTTTTGAAAGTAGGCACTCAAAGATATATAAAAACAATGTCATTTAACATACTGTTCTTTTTTCTACGTAAATACATTTGATACACTGGAGTGACTTTGCACTGCAAGTCCCCTGTCATTAAACAAACATACTCATTTATACATGTATATATCTAAAATTTTAACTCCTATTTCATTTGCTTACCCCAGGGTTCTTTCTGTTAACAGAAACATTTGTTTTGGCTCTTTGCATATAACAGGACCATTTCTAATACTGAACTGATTCTTAGCTGCCTTCTTTAACATCTAGCAGTCACATGATATCCATTTGATTCACTTAAGAAAGTATTTTAGAGCCAGTCACATTGAAAAGGTCAGGACAATAAATGGAAAATAAAACCAAAATAAGGTAATTGTAGAAAGTCCTTTGCTCAGTGTGGAGGGCCCCAGACATTGGGCACCGGTCGGTCTCTTGAACCCTGAGCTAAACAAAGTCGTCATGTTGTTTGGAACCCCGGTCTCTGGCATCCACCTGATCAGAACTCATCCATCCCTGTCCCTGCTCAGCTCAGTCTAACTAACGCACACATTCAGTCTCTCTGCTCAGCAAGAATGACACTAAGAGAAGGTTATTCTGGTGAGACACAGCATTCTAGTGCATACTCTTAAAAGGAGACTTCATATACTTCCCCTCTATTTCCCACACATCACGCAAGCAAGGAGAAATATGGAGAAACTTTAGTAGCCTTTAACTCATAGGCTGTGGCCTTGTTAAAAGAAGTATTGAAACTGTGAGAGGTTTGACAGGGCAGTCCAACTGAAAGGGTCCAATGGAAAAGTTTTGCCATATAATAAAGCATGGACTTTTTTACATAATATATTATACTGTAGCTAGGAATGTGGATACGTTTCTTGTTTTGGAGCAGAGACCAGGTAAGATTGCCAGAGATCGTTTTCCACCCAAAGTTTTTCAGTAATAAACCCCAATGTTGTAATTTCTGCAAAACCAGCTGCTTTCACAATTTATCATTTCGAACGGCATCATTTACCTCATAGGTCTAAATGCATCATCATTAGATTTCAAATTGTCTAGAGTCAATATATAAAAAATATATTTATACATATATATATTTGAATATAGAAAAAAAACAGAAATGGATGAACACAGGGATATAAATAAAAGTGAAAGAAATGTCACATTAAACGTTTTTTTTTAAAGTTACTTTCGTAAGGCGAACAATAACCAACAACATTAATTTTACATAAAAGTGCATCTGACTCAAATGAATCCTAAATGGCAGAGTTCCACTGTTTGGCGTAGCGTTTTCCTAGATACACATAGAAAGCCGGTAAACCTAATGGCAACTCACTTTCAAATCAAGGCATTAGGATTGTATTTGTCTAGGACTAAAAGAAAATCTCTCTTTCAATCACAAAGTACAATATCATTTGTCATATTGTGTAGTTAGCATATCCTCCAACCAAACTGGAAACCAACCCCTTCATGAATGAAATCAGTCATTTTTGGTACACTCAGAAAACACTGGGCTGTCATACTGAGGGGCTGTAGCGGAGGGTTGGAGTATAAGGCACAGTAATCACAATGGTCTACTGTGAAGGTCATAATAAAACAAAAACACTGATGGCTCTGGTTCCCTGTTGTATGGTGAGGACAGGACAGATCAGCATGGGCTTCCATCAGGGACCGTGAGTCTTCAAAACCATAAAGAGGCACTTTCTCAAAAATACAAAGAATTTCAGAGACAGATCCGAGGAGAAAGTGAAAAATAAATCCATCCGTTCTCAATAACACTGAGTGGTGCATCTGTTGGTTTCATCAGTCAGCATGTTGAAGCACTGTGCTGTGACTGTGGGTCTGCTGGCTTGGCCTAAGTAGACCAGACACTGCTCTGCTCAAGCTTACTGTAAGTCCCATATGAAACAGTTCATTATCTCAGGGGTCTCACCCAGCCCATCTAGAGAATGTAAACTTAGGAGGGGACACTCTGGCATTTTTAAAAGGCACATTCGGTGGACATGCTTGATCAAATCCCATCCTGAACCACATATAATAGATTCGATTTGTTTGGAGTGTCTGTGTGTGTGTGTGTGTGTGCGCGTGTTTGATCCTCTCACAGACCACCAAGGTGATAGCTGAATAGCTACAGTTCATGTGGAGTTGGTGGGGCCAGTTCTCCACAGCAGACAGCTGAAGACTGATCAGTCATATAGCTCCCTCTAGTGGGGGAAGTTAGAGGTGAATTTGATAAAGGTCATTAACAGCTTGGAATAATGGCACTGTGCTATTATCCATAATAATGGATCATGTGTTGTTGTGGGTTAAGGTACGAGTCTGACTAGAGGTGAGTCTGGTTTGGGGAGAGAGCTGTAGGATGGACAGGGCCATGTTCCAAATTCCAAGTCTAGAGTCTAGATGTCTGCTGTAGACCATGAGTCCTGAGGAGCGGTCGAGACAGAGAGAGTGTACTAGTACTTCCCCTCAGCAGAGGATCTGGGAGAAGGGGTGTCTGAGCAGCTCCTCAGCACTGGGCCGGTGCTTGGCCTCCACAAAGATGCAGTGGATGAAGTCACGGGTGTGGTCCGAGGAGTGTGAGGGCAGCAGGGGTTTGGTGGGCTGGGTGGCGATCTTAAAGATGGCCGCCATGGCCTCGTATTCAGCCCAGGGAGGCTTCTCTGTCAGCATCTCCACCACCGTGCAGCCCAGGCTCCTGGGGAAGGTGACACAAACACACGGTTAAGAGAACACCCATATGAGCTCAAACACACAATTTAAACACTTGCCCCCCAATCCCCCCCTTCCACAAAACGTGTAAATATTGGAATATAAATTGTGCCTTCCTGTATTATACTTACTAATAAATATATTATATTCTACTGAGCCATTTACTTTATGTTCATATTGTTATCTTTTATTAGTTCTTATTGTTGTTGCATTGTTCGAGAAGGAACCAGCAAGTAAGCATTTTGTTGGACGGTGTATACCATAAGTGTCCTGTACATACGACTCATAAAACTTGAAACCCGCTCACACACAAACATCAAAATAGGACATTCAATGCAATACACAATCGGAGAACTTATTGACTTGTGTGAATTGACAAAAACAGTGTTAGCACACACTGAAAAAACAAAGGGCATCTTTTCCTCACTACAGGCACGAAGGGAACAGACCATCCCTCTCCTCTTCTGCTTTCCCAGGCTCCACTGGAATGTTTTGGTGGAAACTTTTTCCCTGTTGACAATTAAAGTGTCCTTTTGCTGGCTACGGGAGGCCGTTTCAGTCCTGAAGTCAGACAGAGCAGGGGGCTGGTGAGGGGAGCTGGGTGGCCAGGGACAGACTCCCCTTTGGACCTGTTACCCCCTACCGACGCTCCCGGCCTGGTCCCCCAGGGGAGCTATGAAGTCGGAACATTCCGACCCCTGTCACAAGATGGCTGGTTGGCTGGTTCTTGGCCAATCACATTCCTCGCCTGATGGGACACTACCCAATCAGATTGCACAGGGGAATCCCTGGGCAGCAGGTGGGCCCGACCCATTTCAGGGCCCTGTGCGTGGGAGTGAGGCAGTCCTTCTCAACATTCTCTTTTAAATATAGCACCTTTCCTCTTTTATATATAGCACTTTTTCCCTTTAAGAATAATGGTTTCCCCCTTTTAGAACAGCTATTTTCCCTGCCTTCACATTCCAGCAGTCTAACCACTCTGCTATCAGGGAAGGAGCCTACTTATAAGAGCACACAAGGAAAGCATCTGACACTTGACTTGAAGATACATTCACACACTCCCAGATGAGACATCTATCCCCCACCTCCCCTCCTATCAACACAACTAATCAGAATCACCTGCATGTGTATAAGACCTCTTACCCAAACCCAAACCCCAAGCCCAACCCCATGTGTCCCTGGTGCTTACCAGACGTCAGCCTTCCTGCCGTAGCCCTCCCCGCTGATCACCTCGGGGCTCATCCAGTAGGGGGTGCCAGTGACAGAGCGGATGCCCGTGCCAGACATGCAGATGGTCTGCAGCCTCTTGCTGGCGCCAAAATCTCCCAGCTTCACGTTTCCCGCCGAATCCCGCAGGATGTTGGCACCTGGATAAGGAGACGACAGAGTAACACCATGTGACACAGACTCACCCAACCACCTTCCTTGTATTTTAAATGTAGCTTTTAGGTCCTTGTGCTTGAGTCTGGAAGTCTATAGCCATTTAGTTCACTATCTTTACTACAAATGGCCATCTGAGCAGTGTGTTGACATAACTACCTTTGATGTCACGGTGAACGATCATGTTGCTGTGCAGATAGGACATGCCCTCCAGGATCTGCCGTGTGTACTTCCGGGTCACGTTTTCCGTCAGCGCCCCGTAGGCCTTCAACTGGTCTTTGACTGAACCCTGAGCGACAAGAAGGAAGTGCATGGTTAATACTCATATCCCCAGGAGAGACTGGGACACAGTCCAGGGCTGAACACCACAGATACCCTTTAACCCCCAACACTCCAGCCCTGAGCAGAAGTGTGAAGAACAGACTGACCCCTGGCATGTACTCCATGAAGATGGTGAGGGTCTTCTCGTTGTGGTCCCTCAGACAGCCGTAGTACTGGACGATGCGTTCGTGGTGGAGGTTCTTTAACAACTGGATCTCACACTCCAGAGCACTCACCTCCTACAGACAGACAGGGAACAACAGGTTTAGGGATGTTGTACAGAACCACTGCTCTACACTGTGAACAAACACGAAAGGAAAAATACATTACAGCAACCAATCAACAACAAATAAACTGCTCAACATTACATGATATGAATGAGTCAACTGTCCACAAAAAGACAAAAAAAATATTGACAAATGGAAAAAGTATTTCAGACACACAGACTAGCTCTCTCTCTGCAGATAGGACATTAGCGGTAACAGTCCAGTTCCTCAAAAGCAGTTCCTCTGTTTACCTCAGAGAATATGGCCACAGAGATCACATCACAGAGAGAGAGAGAGAGAGAGAGAGAGAGAGAGAGAGAGAGAGAGAGAGAGAGAGAGAGAGAGAGAAGAGAGAGAGAGAGAGTAGAGAGCGGAAGAGGGAAATGGAGATATATACAAAGTATCTGCAACACAAAGACCCACTAAATAGATAAAAACAACAACAACTGATTAACATCCACTGCAGGCTGGGGGGCCAGAGGCAGAGAGGGAGAGAGAGAGAAAAGAGAGAGCGAGACAGAGAGAGAGACAGAGAGAGAGAGGGAGAGAGAGAGAGAATGAGAGAGAGAGAGAGAGAGAGAGAGAGAGAGAGAGAGAGAGAGAGAGAGAGAGAGAGAGAGAGAGAGAGAGAGAGAGAGAGAGAGAGAGAGAGAGAGAGAGAGAGAGAGAGAGGAGAGGGGAGTTTAAGGGGTGATTGGAGGCCAAGGCAAAGCTGGCTCCGCTACTCTCCCCTTCCTCACCCCCCTGCAAATACTCCACTCAGATACAGGAAGTGACAGTGCATGTTTTCTCTGTGGCAGACAGGAAAATACATTAAAGAGGGGGGAGAGAGAAAGGAAAGAAAGTCCCGTTAATCTCCTCAAAGTTCATTGCTCTCAGAGACAGAGATGAGCACTCAGTCAGGATTTAGTGACTACGTCAGTGATTCAGAGCATGAGTTTATCTGATTCCTGACTACAGATCATTGAATAGCGCCTGTTGTGTTTAAGACAGTTGACCAACCCTTACGATAGTGAAACTCAGTCAGGTTAAACACTGCACCATACTGCATTCCTCCACAATCGCCTCTTAAGAGTAAAGTAGCTTGCTGAACACATTACCTCATTCTTGGCATTGCTCCAGGCTAAAGGTGCTCCAGGCTAACCCTCTATGCATCAATCTTTAACAATACACGGGAACTCAAGTCATACCAAGTTCTCCTTCAGGCTGGGGAGTCTGAGTCATGTTGGCATAAATACATTACAGTAGCCTGGCTGTGAACAGTAGACTTTGATATAAAAGCAGAAAACAATCTGTGTAGTAGCATACAGTTCTGGCATCCCCTGCTGTCTCACCTTACTGGTGTCAGGACTGTCCGGGTCAAACACCACCTGCTTGGCGGCCAGCTCCCGTCCCGTGTCCACATCGTAACACAGGTAAACCCTCCCAAATGCCCCCTGACCCAACAGCTTGCCCCGCCTCCACGTCACTGGAGCACTGGGGGCTGTGGAGGGAGGGGCACACACCATACATATCATACTCTCTCCATATAGAAAACATTACACCACACTGCATTCATCATACAAACAAATTCCCTTATTTGAAATGTATAGGATATAAGAATAGATTAATGAGTATGAAATCTCTAATAACCATACAATATATGTAAAATGTGTAATATATGTAAATATAAGATGGAGAGGTGGGGTCAGGACTCACACTTGTGGGCGATGGGGCGCTCCTGTGGGCGGAGCCTGCCCTGCTTGTCCACTAGCTGCCAGCTGCCCAGACTCTCCTCGCTGCCATTGAGGGAGCGCCGTGAGGGCACCAGGGTGAACAGGTTACCCTGGGGGCGACGGATCCGTGGGAACGTCCTCCGACCTGGGGGGATGAGAGGAGAGTTGAGGGTGAAGGAGAGATGAGAGAAGAACAAAGAGACCAAGAGAAGGAGGAGATGGTTCAAGAAATGGGTCAGGGAAAAGGTCAAATACGAACCACAAAGTGCCCCTACCTTCACTATGGTCCTTGTGATGCAGGGAGACATGGTACCTGCGGGGGTATGTCCCTCCCTTCCCCACCACCTTATCATACACATGGTTCTCCCGGTCTGAGAGGGAGGAATGAGTAAAGAGAGCAAGAGAGAGGGTGAAGGTTAGATTACAACAGGATTCAGACTGTTGGTAAGAGCTGCCTTGTTGCTCTGTGCTGTTGCTTGGGACTACATTGTTGCTTTGTTGCTAGGAGCTGCATTGTGGTTCAGGCCTGTTGCTATGGGGCTGGAGAGCGGCGCTGTTGCCAGCACTGTAAAGGGGTTACTGTGAATTTGACAGTAGATTACAGGCAGCTCGGTGGCAAGTAAAATTCTGTATTTCATATTACAGTTCACCTGATGTAATCTGAATACGGTATCAAAGCAAGTAATGTGTAATGACATAAAGTACACTATCATAAAATTGACTGTATTATACTGTAAAAAACTAAATGCTACCGTAATCGGAATGAATGAATTAATAAATGAATGTATTACATTCATTGAGGGGAGGGGTTTGTATTTCACAGTATTTTACTGTAATTTCATGGGATTGGTGCAAGCAGGTTGACTGCTAAGCTTTTACACATTACAGCATATTAATGAATATTTGGTGCTTCATATCACTTGCACTTCTAGAGGCTTTAACAAAGGCTTCCAAACTGGCAGTGACTACAGGGTAAAACAGACCAAAAGGACATGGCAAAATGCTTAACCATTTGCTGCCACTCCAATCTGCCCCTATACATTTTTAATTGATGGGGCACTTTAACCACATTGGAGTAAAATTGGTAAAATATTCTCACTCACGGGTGCAACAAATATAGCCTCTTACAAGGTACGCCTCAAAATACGGTAATAAGCCAGAAACAAAAAAATTACAGTTTTCCGTTACAGTGAGGATCTATATCTTGTGTAGTGATATCAGGAATCTTCCTGGGCACCCACCTGAGACGTTCTCCAGCTGCCGGTTATCAGGGTAGCTCTTAGCTCGGTGCATGCGTGACTTCCTCAGGGAGGGGCTGGGAGGAAAGACAGATAAAGAGAGAGTGAGAGGTGCTGATCACCTCCTCAAAATACATACAATGTCTTTATAACCCAAGTCAAGTATTGTGTGTACGTGTGAGGTAGAATCATGGGTAAAAGTAGATGTAATTTCTTACCGGAACCGGACACCCAAGCGCGCACCCACTTTTTTAAATAAGTGTAATCGTAGAATTACAAATAGAATCCTTATTAATTTCATATATGATCTCTGTGGGCCTAGTAGCCTAGGCTAGTAAAGATTTGTCATATCACTTTTAACATGCAATACCTGTTAACATAGGTGGTGAGTGGGTTTCAAGTTTGGGGAAAATAATTTTCACCATAAAAATGCACCTTTACAATAAAGCATTTCATCAATCCTCGCATTTACAGACTTATGTAAGATAGCCTACTATTCCTAATGTGATGATTATATTGGATAGTCATAATTTAAGCTAATAATATAACAATCACTGTTCACAAAAAAAAAATACTTCAATGCAGTGCGTACTGGCGTAGAGTAGGCCTAGGCTATATCAGATTAATTTCTTCTCCTTTCTTTGCACAGGAAAATGTTGGCCTTTTATAAACACATTTCATGCAATTCTACTACACTTTATATGACTGGAGACATAAGCATAATCTTTTTTTAATACGACAAAAATTACAGGGTAGCATACTCTGCTGACACTGACAAACAGATCAATAAAAACAACGTTGTCTGATCCATTTAATAGGCCTACGGAAAGGGGAAACACAAATACAATATAGTCCATCTAACCTGGAGGAGGAAATAATGACCCAATGATAAAGTGAATATGCACACTCACCGGGGATATGGACAATGTTCTCCGCTGGTGCCAATAAGATAGGCTACTGTTCGCTCAATTAAGTTGAGAATTTGGATGACTAAAAGACAGATTGCAGTTGTTTCATTGTCTTCTCTTTACAGCTATAGCCTTTGCTTTCCAAACTGTTGGGTCTCTCTGCTTTTCACTGACAGTAGCAACTCACATTTGGTATTTGCCACGCGCTGCACAAATTGCGGGCGCTTCCAACTGTAGGCTACGCGATAAAAATTACTTTAGGGAAAGCTTAGCTTCCCCTAGCCTTATGGACATGCCGCCTATGCATTTTAATGTGGCATAAACACAACCAGTCATGATGTTTTAATCTGTTTGTCAAACAAACAATCACTTCAAAGAGGCGGTCCTGTAGCCTACCCGTACACGTTCGTCCACTCACAAAATAATTCCAGCATCCAAACCCCAACAGTGCACCTGCAATTTGATGAATGGAAAGAGACATCTTTTACAAAACACCTACGTGTATTGTAATGACATTCTGCGATTGGCTTAAACTTATAGCCTGAATTGATGCATCCTCTGTTGTCCACGTGCCTCGGTCTTGGCCACTCATCTCCGCCTTGTCTGTGCATGTCTCGGTCTCGGCCACTCATCTCCAAGGCATGCAAGTGTTCTTGTCGAACCACAATGCAATTTGGGGAATATACCATCCGGTTTCAAGTCAATTCGCACATTTTTCATGCAGAAGACATTAGGTAAAGTTAAATAATGGTGTAATAGACTACAGTTTTCTTGGCATTTTGTGTTAATAATGATAGGCTCACGTTTCACCAGTACGGAGTACCCCCACTATTTATTTTGCCAGGACGCTGTACCAGTCCATACTGGCTTACTTTCACCCCTGGGTAGAATGTGGGACAGAGCCCTGCCCTCACCTGTCTGAGCTACTGTCCAGCGACTGGCAGCTTCCTGAGACAGAGTTCTCTGCACTGCTCCAGGGGTCCAGCACCTAGGAAGAAGAGACACAGTATTAGCCCTACAGTGTGTGTGTGTGTTTGTTTGTGTGTGTGTGCGTGCGTGTGTTTGTGTGCGCACGTGTTTGTGTACAGTGCAATGACTCACACACTGGTCGCTCTCTGGGATGAACTCTCCCTCACTGTTGATGCTGGTGTAGGAGCCCTGGCGGGCGATCCTCTGCTGCCGCTCAGGGACATAGCCAGGAGGGGGGGAGCTACGGCCTGTGTTCTGAGAGCCTGGGACGGGGGAGAGGAGGAGGAGGATAATAATCTGTCGATGTGCCCTTGAGCAAGGCACTTAACCCTAATTGCTGAGGTAGTCGCTCTGGATAAGAGCATCTGCTAAATGAAAAAAGTAATATTAAAAAAAAGTTAAACAATGGATTATGGGGGAGAAAAGAAGATACAGTGGGGAGAACAAGTATTTGATACACTGCCGATTTTGCAGGTTTTCCTACTTACAAAGCACGTAGAGGTCTGTAATTGTTATCATAGGTACACTTCAACGGTGAGAGACGGAATCTAAAACAAAAATCCAGAAAATCACATTGTATGATTTTTAAGTAATTAATTTGCATTTTATTGCATGACATAAGTATTTGATCACCTACCAACCAGTAAGAATTCCAGCTCTCACAGACCTGTTAGTTTTTCTTTAAGAAGCCCTACTGTTCTCCACTCATTACCTGTATTAACTGCACCTGTTTGAACTCGTTACCTGTATAAAAGACACCTGTCCACACACTCAATCAAACAGACTCCAACCTCTCCACAATGGCCAAGACCAGAGAGCTGTGTAAGGACATCAGGGATAAAATTGTAGACCTGCACAAGGCTCGGATGGGCTACAGGACAATAGGCAAGCAGCTTGTGAGAAGGCAACAACTGCTGGCGCAATTATTAGAAAATGGAAGAAGTTCAAGATGACGGTCAATCACGCTCGGTCTGGGGCTCCATGCAAGATCTCACCTCGTGGGGCATCAATGATCATGAGGAAGGTGAGGGATCAGCCCAGAACTACACGGCAGGACCTGGTCAATGACCTGAAGAGAGCTGGGACCACAGTCTCAAAGAAAACCATTAGTAACACACTACGCCGTCATGGATTAAAATCCTGCAGCGCATGCAAGGTCCCCCTGCTCAAGCCAGCGCATGTCCAGGCCCATCTGAAGTTTGCCAATGACCATCTGGATGATCCAGAGGAGGAATGGGAGAAGGTCATGTGGTCTGATGTGACAAAAATAGAGCTTTCTGGTCTAAACTTCACTCGCTGTGTTTGGAGGAAGAAGAAGGATGAGTACAACCCCATGAACACCATCCCAACCGTGAAGCATGGAGGTGGAAACATCATTCTTTGGGGATGCTTTTCTTCAAAGGGGACAGGACGACTGCACCGTATTGAGGGGAGGATGGATGGGGCCATGTATCGTGAGATCTTGGCCAACAACCTCCTTCCCTCAGTAAGAGCATTGAAGATGGGTCGTGGCTGGGTCTTCCAGCATGACAACGACCCGAAACACACAGCCAGGGCAACTAAGGAGTGGCTCCGTAAGAAGCATCTCAAGGTCCTGGAGTGGCCTAGCCAGTCTCCAGACCTGAACCCAATAGAAAATCTTTGGAGGGAGCTGAAAGTCAGTATTGCCCAGCGACAGCCCCGAAACCTGAAGGATCTGGAGAAGTTCTGTATGGAGGAGTGGGCCAAAATCCCTGCTGCAGTGTGTGCAAACCTGGACCTACAGGAAACGTATGATCTCTGTAATTGCAAACAAAGGTTTCTGTACCAAATATTAAGTTCTGCTTTTCTGATGTATCAAATACTTATGTCATGCAATAAAATGCAAATTAATTACTTAAAAATCATACAATGTGATTTTCTGAATTTTTGTTTTAGATTCCGTCTCTCACAGTTGAAGTGTACCTATGATACAAATTACAGACCTCTACATGCTTTGTAAGTAGGAAAACCTGCAAAATCGGCAGTGTATCCAATACTTGTTCTCCCCACTGTACATCCCTAACACTGATAACAGATATGATCTCTCTCTCTCCAACCACAGAATGAAATGAGGGAAAAAAATATCTCAATTATTAATAACGTGATTGTTCAAAATGTAACTCTGCCTCAGGCGGAGGATCTGCAGAGAATTTAGGATATGTACAGATTCCCTCACGCTGCACTAATCTCAAACCCCCCTCCCCTCTCCCAAAACAGCCAGTGTTTCTAAAACCAGGCCATTGGCCTGCTACACTAATAGTGTCTCCATATCTGATTGGCTTGTGGCCAGCAGGCCATTGTAGAGCAGCCAGTGATGGTGGACAGGAAGAGGAAGAGGACCTACTGCTAAGAGGGGAAGCCAGAGAAACAACAGCAGTCAGAGAGAGAGAGAGGGGGTGGAAACGAGAGAGAGGAGGGGGGTGGGGGGAGAAGAGAGCGAGGGGGGGAGTAGAGAGAGAGAGCGAGAGAGAGGGGGGATAGAGAGACATAGAGAAAGCTAGCAAAAAAAATGAGCTAAGAGAGCAAGACATGACAAACACCAAACCAGACAATATCCAACATTACTGTCTCTCCATAGTGAGAGATACCACTAACCTTCCCTTTCTATTGTAAAAAAAAAGTTAGAGCGAGAGGAAGGGAGAAAGAGGATGTTGAAAGCAAAGGCAGTAGAATAGAGGAAGCAGCAATGAGTTGAATCTGCTGTTCATACTCACTGGTGGAGAGGTGGCGCCCCCTGGGCTCGGAGGGCTGGTACACCGTGCTGACATCACCCGCGGACTGGGCTTTGATCCTCACCTGCTTACTCACCGTGTGGTGGGAGGAGGGAGAGGGAGAGGGAGAGTGGGACGGGGAGGCCTAGGGGGAGGGATTACAGGGGTGTGGTCAGAGTGCTGGTCCACATATAGACACTACACACTATCCTATTACATATGATTTTAATAACATGTGTTATTGCTTAATGTGTGTGTTTGTTTATTTATGTATGTCTGTGTATTTATGTGTGTGTGTGTGTCGTACATTGCACTGCTCCTGCGTCAGCAGCAAGATCTTGATGCTCTTAATCTTGGAGCTGCGGTCCAGCAGGTCAATGGCCTTGTCCAGGTCATCCTGACCACGCAGAGGGATGGACAGCTGGACATACAACACACAGAGATGACTCAACCACCACACAGAGACACTAAGGGAGAATTTCCATTAAACATGCATCTTTGTACTTCGGACTAAATGTCCAGGAAAATGTCCGTAAAAGTTATCTACATCCAGTGGGTTGCTGTGAGGGCCAGTGTTTGTGTGTGTATGCATTGTGTTGGTGTATGTCTGAGAGAGTGTTTGTAGGTGAGAAAGGGAGAGAAAGAGATGTGGGATTAGCTGTACCTCATTGTTCATATAGTGCAAGTCTAGCTGTTGGCCAAAGACTGTCTTGACCTTCTGCTGGATTTCTTCAAACTGCACAGGCCTCCCAAACATCAGTATCCTACACAAATAAAAAAATATGTAGACAACCAGTGAGTAAGATGGACAGACAAACAGCGGGTAAGATGGACAGACAAACAGACAGAAGGAAAAAAAGGGTGTCGGTCAGGAAACTATAACCTCTTTTGATCTGCAACACAAGCGTGCACACACTTTTACAAACATATTCAGTTTCCAGCGTGTGCATTTTCCTCTAAGCACACCTAACATAGCTGTGGTTTCTGCTGGCAGACACAGCTAAACCACACTCCTTTCCCTTTCCATTCTCCGCTTCACATACCAGTCTGACTGGAGAGCTGGAGTGCGTTTGAGCCGAGCTGACCGTGCTCTTCTCACAGACAAAGACGTGATAAAACAGGCACACACACATACAAAGACACACACACACAAAGACACACATCCAAAAACAAGAAAACCAACTCACCTCCTCTCTCCACTGAACTCAAACTTTATTCTGACATCGTCCTGAGGAAGTAGAGAGAAGAAGCCCAGTCAAGAGGGGTCACGGAAGGTCACAGGGTCAGGATGGGGTCATGAAGGGAAACAAGATGTCTGGTAGGGATGATATTGACATGCCTGTCTGAGGAGTGTGTGTTGTTGACTGTGTGGGGTGGTAGATGGTTTACCTGTCTCTTAGCAGGAGTAGGGGCAGGGTTGGGCAGAGTCTTGGGTTTTCCCGTGTCATAAGAGGGCACAGGCTGGCGCCTCGTCATCTGGAGGGCCACCAGGTCCTTCATTATGGAGTGGAGAGCCTGGCGCTCATCTATAGGGGAGAAGGGTTGGTGGAAACACACAGTTACCATAAGATAAAATTGAAGTGTAATTGTGTGTTTGTGTGTGTGTGTGTGTAGCCACTTAAATCCCACTTCTAGTTGTGTACACAGAAAAAGAAGTGTTTTTATAATAAACCCACATTGAGAGTGTTCAGCTAGCGACAGGGTAATGGAGCCAGTGAGAGGACAGACTGCAGTGTTTTTGATATTCCTATTCCCATGTTTGATCTCTGAGCGCTGCATTGGCTGTTTTAGCTCACGAAGGGAAATATTCCCCTAGTGTAGTTTGGACAGACATCACACAGCAGCAGGGCAGGAGAGAGAACCAGAGCCCCATCTCCATAACACTGAAAATCAATCCTTCACCCGCCGGCCCGGCCAGCGTCTGGAAAACCAGCTCAGCTCAACTCACACAGGAACTGGGGGTTGGGGAATAGTGTGTGTAGGTTGTGTGTGTTCATCTGAGTGTACATTTATGACGTGTAATATTGTGAGTGTTTCATGTGTGTTCTAACATCATCATAATCAACACAAGGAACTCACTCATTTTGGCGATGTGTGTGTGAGCGCTGTCTAAGCCAACAGCCTTCAGAGATCTGCAGATCTTCAGACTCCTCACTCTGCAGTGGCACCCATCAACAGCCTGCAGGGAAAGCACCAATTTGTTAACATAGGGAATATATTTCATAACATAAGCTGCAGTTGTCATCATATTCACAAGTCATCATCATATTCATCATCTTTATGTTCAACATATTTTGTAGCACTGGCAATAGATTATCTTATAGTGTGAAGTGTACGACATCATCAGTCCTTAAAACACAAGCTGTTTATCTTTGATATAAACATACTAAATGGTTTGTAATGCATTTAAAGATAGTGTGCATGAAGAAGGTATATAAGAACATGTAATTTCTGAAGTACCATCCATTTCTCAAGGAAAGCGTGGAACATAAACTAAAATTACTTTTCTGGGACGAGGCCTGGCCGAGCGGGAAACTGCCATTTAAAAAGCACTTGAGCTGTGTGTGTGTGTGTGTGACAGAGAGAAACTTTGCACATAAGACAAATCGAGAGTTGAAAAGGTCTGAAATTTGAGCTCCACTGGCACTGACAGATCTGGCACGAAGCACATTAAAGAGTTTTACTGTGAATATTCTGCAAGCTTTAAACTTCTCAGACTGCATGAGCCATAAAATACTCACTCAACCATGTCATAACTTCACTTTTAATGTTAAGAGGGCAATATTCTCTTAAAAAGGATGACAGAGTTGTGCCAAGTATACATTTTTCCCTGATTTAACATAACCCTTGACAAGGTAAAGTATTAAGGTGTATAGTGTATCCAAGAAGACAACAGCATTAGAAACTCTGGTAGCTCCCTCCACAGATTTTCTATGGGATTAAGGTCTGGAGACTGGCTAGGCCACTCCAGGACCTTAATGTGCTTCCTCTTGAGCCACTCCTTTGTTGCCTTGGCCGTGTGTTTTGGGTCATTGTCATGCTGGAATACCCATCCACAACCCATTTTCAATGCCCTGGCTGAGGGAAGGAGGTTCTCACCCAAGATTTGACGGTACATGGCCCCGTCCATCGTCCCTTTGATGCGGTGAAGTTGTCCTGTCCTCTTAGCAGAAAAACACCCCCAAAGCATAATGTTTCCACTTCCATGTTTGACGGTGGGGATGGTGTTCTTGGGGTCATAGGCAGCATTCCTCCTCCTCCAAACACGGCGAGTTGAGTTGATGACAAAGAGCTCGATTTTGGTCTCATCTGACCACAACACTTTCACCCAGTTCTCCTCTGAATCATTCAGATGTTCATTGGCAAACTTCAGACGGGCCTGTATATGTGCTTTCTTGAGCAGAGAGACCTTGCGGGCGCTGCAGGATTACAGTCCTTCACAGCGTAGTGTGTTACCAATTGTTTTCTTGGTGACTATGGTCCCAGCTGCCTGACAAGATCCTCCCGTGTAGTTCTGGGCTGATTCCTCACCGTTCTCATGATCATTGCAACTCCATGAGGTGAGATCTTGCATGGAGCCCCAGGCCGAGGGAGATTGACAGTTCTTTTGTGTTTCTTCCATTTGCGAATAATCGCACCAACTGTTGTCACCTTCTCACCAAGCTGCTTGGCGATGGTTTTGTAGCCCATTCCAGCCTTGTGTAGGTCTACAATCTTGTCCCTGACATCCTAGGAGAGCTCTTTGGTCTTGGCCATGGTGGAGAGTTTGGAATCTGATTGATTGATTGCTTCTGTGGACAGGTGTCTTTTATACAGGTAACAAAATGAGATTAGGAGCACTCCCTTTAAGAGTGTGCTCCTAATCTCAGCTCGTTACCTGTATAAAAGACACCTGGGAGCCAGAAATCTTTCCTTTAGTGGAGTGGGTTGCCATATATATGACAAAGAAACACTGGAATTCAAAAAACACTGAGACAACTATAAGACTATAATTCAGCAGAGATTAGTGTGCTTGGAAAATGTGTGCTTTATTTGGTAAGTGAAAGGGTATTTTAGTATTCTCTTTACCTAAAGTGGACCAGACACATATCACATGGGCCTTAAACTACAGTAACAATCAGCACAATAACATTGGTCTTATTACACTGTAACAACGTAGTAAGTACACACAGCTATTGAGAACTCACCAATATAGGGCTCAGTAGGGATGCACAAAATCATTTAGCTGTAGGCTAGTTATTACCATATAGTTTAGTTATTACCATATTATTACACGTACTGGAGTTCATCATCAAAGAATACTGCCTAGGTAAGCACTGCTGTTCCTATTTTTATAAGATCAGCCCCTCAATCTTCCCTGGTCTCTCTGATCAATATTGTTCTATTATTGATCCAAATAGAGCAGGTCAGGAGAGGAACCCAATCCAGAAGGTGCTAGTGTCAACACAGCAGTTATCACCAGCCACCTCACATGCATGGCCACTTTGCCCAGGGGGGTTACCACACTGTAACTCAACTCTAAGTTCAAATATAAATACAGAGAAACACATTGGACCCTAAGGTGAGTGAAAAATATTAACCGAATGAAATGTGTTGTTATTTGAATCTGAAAGGCCTGAAGTCTGAAATGGAATGAAACAGGTGTGCTGATGATTGAGCGTTCTCGTAAAAAATACACTACTGCACATGTGCCAAATGCCAACACTGCCCCTGCCTCATAAACAACAGGAAAGAGAGGAAAATTAAGATTGGAGGGAGGTGAGTGGCTGAGGAGGTAGAGTGGTGTGATGAAGAGGGGGGGGGGGGGGAGTATAAAGGGGACAACAGCAGCAGCACCTGAAGCACTTCAATGGCCCTTTGGAATTCTGGGTAATAATCACCCACTGGAATGCCAGGTATGTCCGTCTGTGGTCGCCTGAGCGTTACCGCGCTGCTTCCCGGCTAGCCCCCTCGCCACACTCACGTTCTCCTCACCCAAGAGACACACTATATGTTTCTACCCTTTGTACCCCCAAACCAAAGGCCTGCTACCATTGGCCCTCCCTCCTCCTATAAAAACATGGGGTGAAATCCCAGGGTCGCAGATAGCTTCAGGACACACCAACCTTCAAACATCTCACTACCTCGGCTCCATATGTTACATCAGAGCTCACATCCGCCTCTTCCACTACAACCCCTATGTGCTGTAAACATGATGAAGTGATGTCACAGCTCCACGAGGAGCCCTTATCTATCTCTGTTATACATTGACTGGCCTCGCTGTCCGTCGTTCTGTCGTTCTGCTCCCCTGCTCTCCTGATTTTAATTACCTCCTCAGAGGAATGTGGGGAATTCAGCGAGGAGAGAGGCTGCATACTGCCAGCCCAGTCAGCTGTGCCCCCTTCATTTTACTTGTATCGCATTTCCAGGACTCACCGGAGTTACATGGACTTTCCTCCACTTCTCTCTGCCTGCTTTTAGGTGTTTAGTCTAAGGCTGTTTTTCCCAGCCACGGCCCTTGCTCTGTCTGCATCTGGACCCAAAAAACCCTCAGCAGTCCCTGGCCTTATGTCTCTCCTTGCTTAACAGGCTCAAGTGCTCTGGGTTGGGGTGACCTGCTATGTTCACAGCTGCACTGCAAGGCTTGAGTAAAAACTTGCCATAAAAGCTTGTAGTGAGGCCTAGTGGTGCAACTCAGAGAACCGTCTGCCAAGTTTTTTGTACAAACAAAACAAAAATAAAGATCCCAAACAGCCATCCCAGCATTGTCAGGAGGAACCATACTTATGGATTGACTACCACCTCCAGGGGTAATGGCAGAGGGGAAAGAGAGCAGGCAGAGGATCAAGGGAAAGTTCAGAATCATCATATTGCACAATGCTTTGTCATTTCTCCATAACTTTATGCATCCACTCAGTGCTGTAGGGAGGAAAATTCCATTGCAAAACTCTAGTTGGACAAAATTGCATGCATAGAACTGTCCCCTACTGGTACAGATGTAGGATCTTACTGAGAATGTTCCTGCCTAGCAGGAAACGCAAACTTGTAGTGTATTTCAGTTTGAAAAAATATTCTGAAGTTTGTAATTTCCACATTGAAATGTCAGACTTGTTTTGCCCTAACGAAAAAACACTACAGAAATGGCGATTAAAGGAGCAATATGCAGAGCCATTTCCTGGTTTCTAAAATTCTAAAAGTTTGCCTAATTTCAGTTTATGTGACAAAACAAGCAATGTATTGTGTAGACAATCATTGTACCATCTAAACCAGTGTAAAATATATTTTCAATAACCAAAAGTATTGTATTTTCAGCTGTTTGAAGCTGGATTACAAAACCGAAAGTAAAGAAGCAAAAACTAAACTTGAGAATGGGAAGCATAGAAATAGTGCACATACAACAGATCTACCGCTACTTAGACTTGCTTTCAATGAGAATGACAGATATATAACTCCGATTTCTATGTGAATTTGGTTGGGTCACCCAATAAGCTACATATTGCAGCTTTAATTATAATCCACATAATAATTCACATTTCCTGTTGCTGCAGGATTATTTTGCTGCTGTAGCAAACTGGCTCAAATTAAGATCCTACATCTGTATCATTCTAAACTCCAGTTCTTGACGGCCAAAGTGTCTGCTGGTTTTCATCATTGCTTTTTAAGGAGTAATTCACTTTGACTTGGGGGACCAGAGCTGGGGACTGTCCAATGTCTGTCCAATTGATCAAGTTATGTCATGGAGGAAGGAGAGAAACCCTAGGAGGCTATGAGAATAACAGGTGATGTACAACTAGGCCTTAATTGGCTTAAGGACACTTAACTATTCATTAATTTGTCCAAAAATAAATGATATCATGACACTTTGAGTGGAGCTTATTGAGTGGAGTCCCATAGCCATATTCAGCATATATGGCTGTGAGTATTTCTATAGGTTGGATGCCTTTGAAATTGTCATGTGATGTGATGAAAATGCATGAGCTCTCACCTGTGCCGTTGCCCTGGTGATTAACCTCCGTCTGGAGGATGAGAGCCGTTCCCACTAGCGGGGGTCCTGGTTCAACTTCTCACTGGGTCACTCAGGAGAGATGCTGCAGCGTCAATTTGAACCGTTATCTCCAGAGCATCATCCTCAGCTTTGATCCCCAGTCTTTGTTGTTGTTGATTCACTCACACAACCACACGGAGATACTGAGGGATGAGGGCGCCATGGTGGGGTTGCCCCCAGGTGCGGGGGCACTAGTGCGCGCGCTGGTCCACGAAAGTTTGTTACGCACTAGCCAGTAAATATAAATTCTAATGAGCAGTAGGCCTAGAAAACACAATGTCGTCACATCGAGATCGTCACTGTACATGCGTAGACATTTGGATTTCTCTGATGCCAAATTAATTTAACAGAAATATAGTCCAAAATCCGATACATTAGACTGCGCTCAGAAAGTTACCAAAAAGAAAAGTGTCAACCTTCCGTCACCACAAAAACGTTCGACAACTTGCCCATATTTCCAAACTTGATCAAAAAAGAAAAACGTCTGATGGCATTTCATTGTGGAACAAGAAGGCCAACTTACTGCCTGGAATAGAAAAAACAAACATAGGCCATGATAATACTCTCTATTCAATAATCAATATTTCCCAGTGACATTTTGTCAGCATGGAAAGGGTGAATTAACACAAAAGGTGTAACAATAACCGTGTTGCCTTTATGAAATCCATTTTTAACAGTGTAACAGTACACCAAAGGAAAAGGACGAAGCGATTTCCGTGATTTTGATGGCCTCTTTTCCTGCTAAATTTGCAGATTTTTCTTTTTTGTTCTATGCCCGTATTCTCTCCTAACTGTATTGTTCAATCTCTATACAGAATAATTATTATTAATCCATAAACTGCAAACAAGCACCAGACTTTTTATAACAAAGAAATCAGGTGAAAAAAATGTAATTCAACACACAACATGGTGGAGATGGGAGATGAAGATTTAACTATACGAAAGCAGGCTATTCTTGTCGGAATAATGGTATACAATTCTAGGAGACGGATGCAACACATAGTTGACCACACACAATTAATAAACTTGCATCGATAACAAGTTATGATCAGATGGTTTTGTCGAGAAAATATATCGTGCGCATAACTGAACTTTTACCATCTCCGCGGTGCCCGATATGCAGTTGTAGAACTCAACAAAAGTGGAAAAAATTGTATTTTCTTTGTGCAATAGAAGTGATAAACATGCACCAACTGTTCAGAATACTTGAGGGAAAGATATTCCATAAGTTCAGGTACTGATGCTCACCGACATAAAGTAAAATGAATCTTTAATGCAACCAATTTCCTGACAGAAAAAACAATCCGTCACCGGAACCCCTCTAGTACGCTTCCTACAAAACGAGAAAAAGGTGTATATTCCCAATGCTTTGCAGGCTTAAGATTCAATGTTCTGAATGCGGTGGTTGGTCATGGGCAAAGGTGTATCATAATAACGCAGATTTGTGTTCCATTTGGGTAAAGCATACAGTAACTAAAACGACTCCGTGCTTTTCTCGGGGGCGCGCTGTTCCTCGGTCCGGGTAGCGCGCACAATATTAATGGCGCGCTCAAAACCAGACTCGCGACCATCTACACATACATTGATGACGTAGGCTGCATAAAAAGTAAAGGCCTACAAATTTCACTTATGCGTTCTCCATCACATAAGTACTTTTTAGACAGAGAGCTGACAATATATACCATGAGCAGATACTATTATGAAGACCAAATATAATCCTTAATTAAAGTTTGACTTCAACTTGACTGAACTCATGAACTTCGGTGACTTTTGACACATTCAATTCAATATAGGGTCTAATCGGCACCCAGGGCTGTAATATAGTTTGTGTGAGTGTAGATTATTCAATAGAAGTATAGGGTCAGCAAGACTGATGAATGATACCACAAATGCCATACTGTATATGGTTTAATCCATGGTTCAATAGCAACAAACAAAAAACTTTGCCTATAAAAAGTGAAAGAAACTACAGATGTTCTATCTTCATTTGATCACTCTGTTCTCTCAAGGTTTAAAAAGGCTTCTAAAGTTTGTAATTTCCACTTTAAAATGTCAGACTTCATTGGCACGAACAAAAAATGTACAGATGTAAAACCTTAATTTGAGCCTGTTCGCTACAGCAGGAACATAATCCTGCAGCAACAGGAAATGTGAATTATGTGGATTGAAATTAATGGACATTTTTGTAGGGGTTGATACATTTTTCATAAGGGAAAATAAAGTCTGAAATTTCAAAGTGGAAATTACAAACTTCAGAATCCTTTTAAAATCTCAAATACACTACACGTTTTACATTTCTCCTCCAACAGTGTGATCAAATTAAGATTCTACATCTGTATCAACCCCTACAAAAAATGTCCATTGATTATTATCCACTTAATAATTCAAATGTCCTGTTGCTGCAGGATTATTTTCCTGCTGTGAGAAACTTAAGATAGCACATCTGTACCAGTAGGAGGAGACAATATTGATGTTCTATTTAGTTTTCAGGCACCTTGAACTAAAACAACTCAGTTGTCGAGCATCTGAAAGATTGTATAACAGTATATAATTCACACACTAGCTCCTGTACAATGCATAAAAAAGGCTAACTATTTAACCAACAAATGACTTTGGTATCAAATATAATGAAATATGCACTGCCTTTAATCATCATGTAAAAAGACAACCACTTCACTTCTATCAACAACAGCATCTTCATTTATTTTTCCAAAAACATTTAAAAAAAATAAAAAAAAAACTATGGAAAGAAATTGATCGAACAAAATATATTTGATTGTGTGTGTGTGGGGGGGACAAATCACATTATTTATAATTATGTTCTTCTACAACAATTTAACTGGAGTAATAATCCAAAAGAAGAAGGGAGGAGAGTCGAGGTGAAACAGCCAAAACGTCCTTTTGCTTGTAAGGCCACCATCCACAGGTCAAGTTATATAGAATATTTTTGTTTTTAAACGCATACATATACATTGACAACAGTGACACCTGCATTGAAAAATAAATGTAAAGTCTACATCCAATTTTGCACAAAACTAAACTCAGAACAGATACAGTCATACAGCTCTCATAGACCTGAACCTCCTGGCACCAGGGTGGAAAAGTGTACCTTCTTTCTTTTTGTTTCTCTTTACAAAGAACGTTTATTCACAGGATAACGCCGTTGTACCTTGGCACACTGCACGCACATAACAGACCATATGGACACAGTGTTATTTGATATGATGTTCTTGGTTACAAAGCATTCTGGGTGGTCTCGAGGACCCTTACAAAATGTAAAAAGGCAAATAGATATCCTTACAGCTTCAGAAATTGAAATGAAAAGATGAAAACCGTTCAGGAGGGAGTGAAGGGTGAGTGGGTAAAGAAACTGCTGGCTGAGTGAAGCCACTCATATCCACCACTGGGACAAAGTGGAAAAAAGCAGAAGGATTATTTCCTTTCACAAGGGATAGGCTGGAACAGGTAGAAAGGTATGTGCACAGAAAAAAGTTTTTTTTGTTGAAAAAAAAAAAAAAAAAAAGCAATAAATGTTAGGCCATGGTTTTTAGCTATTTATTTCTAAGGCTTTACTTATCAAAAAGTAACATCTCTTTCCTGTTTATTTCCTATTCTGCACAGCATGCTCTAATTCACAGTAAACTTTCCATCACAATATACATTGTGTCATTCAAGTGTTGTGGCATTGGATACTTCCCAAATGACGTATTTCAATGGCTTTAGTCTCATTCTTAAGCAAGAATGAAGAAAATAGAAATGGAAATCTTGTCTATTGAGTTTGTTGGCCCAAGCAGGTGTCACATTCAAACCTAAAAATGCCTATAGCACAGCCAGTTTCATCCCGAAGCCACGCCCACATCCTAAAGATTGAGTAAAAGCTATACAGAAGAAATAACTGGGGGAAACGTGTTTATTGACAATTGTGTGATATCTAATATCTCAAGCCTTTACTGGGTCTGGCTGAACTGACTCAAGCATTTCCTACCTCTCTTCTCCCACCAGGAGGAGCTACTCTGAGTTTCAGGGCACTGTAGGGCTGAACTCACTGCATAGGCAATTCCCTGAACATGCCCCAGGTCAAAACAACATTCCCTGTTAGTGCCCACCACTCATATTACTAGGTCCTGGTGCTCAGAATCAGAGATGGAAGAAGAAGCGAGACATCCCACTCCCTCATTTTTTTCTGGTTACATTAGTCAATGAAGTAGACCAGACCCAGCTGCTATCTATCGTATTGGTGTCTATGGGAGATCCACCCTGTTAAGCAGACTGAAACTGACCATTTTTCAATGGTAAACGGCCTGAGTGAACAATCTTCATGAATCCAACATCTCTGCTCAGAATCGCATGATGCAGTCGAAACAAGGAACCCATAAGATGGAGGCATTTATTTATAAAAAAAAAAAAAAGAGATGTTTATGTTCTCAAATGTGATGTCACTGAAGAAAAAGTTTTACACTATGTTATTTCACTTTGTGGCCCCGTCCGGACATCACAGTCATATGTGAATTTCTGCTGCATTCAGAACCGGGAACTCAGAAATCTCAGACTTTAGAGCATTCAAGACAATAGGGAACTCATAAAAACTGGGAAAAATCGTTTTGAGCGGTCATCCAACTCATACATTCAGAGTCGGGAACTCTGGCCTCTTTCTAGAGCGCCAACTTTCAGAGTGGAAGATCACAGACATCAGGATTTGACATTTGTTTCCCCCCCCCCAGAGTTCACGGTTGTCTTGAAAGCACCAAAAGTCATCCTTAGTTTTTCACACCAATGTGGCCCAATTTAGCACATGAACAGACAGCTCTGCATGGACAGGAAGCTGCAGGGGATAATGCCATGACAGTTGTGTGGTTTCCTGTCAGGCTATGTTCCCTGTCAATCTAACATTGTCTTGTCTGGTGAACATGCATGGTCATATGTGCAAGACAATATAGTATAGTGTGATATGTTCACTAAGCACAAGCTACTGCTATGTACAGACACCTATGAGATACTTCTCATATTCAGAATAAAGACAAAAAAGCCTCAATGAGCTACAGCAACGTATCGCATGACATCAGTCAAACCCAGCAAATAACAGAGCAAAGAGCGCTTTTTAAAACTGGTAAGTGAGATTAAGAGTAAATTAAGCAGATTAGTTTTAAAAAGTCATCCAGAACACAGGAGGGCAGTACATACCAAAGGTAATAAGGCTAAGACACTCATTCATACAGGACAAACATGCAGAACTGAAACCTAGCAGCCATTCAGATCATAGGAGCAAAAAATATATATAAAAGAAAAATGGAATAATAAAACAGAATTTACCAAGAGAGAGAATGTGTGACAGTTCTACAGTACCGTGTACCCTGTTTGTTTCTCAGATAAGTGGACCCTGACAAACTCACAAAATGGCCTCTGCCTGTGCTACTGCACTGCAGAGGACTGGTCTGTAAAATTGGTATTAGATTTAATTGACTATATGGAACTAAAAGAGGTCATAAAATAATACAAACTTGCTAAATCAATCTAGCTCAGTATGTTTGACCTGAGAGTATGCTCTACAGCTTACAGTGAACTCTAGCTTCTCTAACCATATGTTTATCTTAGCATATGGTCCTTACACCTGTTGCATCAAAAGGGTGCACATTTTTCAGAAAAATAAACAAGAAAACAATAATGTTGTCCTCAAAAAGCCAGCAAAAACGTACCACTGGTTTGTGAAGAAGCAGTTTGGTCACAATCAACAAACAATTTCAAAGAGAAATAAAACATAAAAATCTGTATTTTTACTAAAACCAAATTAAAGGAATAAACACCCCACTAAATAAAATGTTAAGCAACAGGGGGCGTGACTGGCCAGTCATAGTGGGTCTTCCATGGTGTGGAGAGAGAGCACACAAGAGCGCTGAGTGCACCCCTCATATGACACATGCTCTTTACGACGTGTTGGAGATGGAGAAGAGGGTTTGGGGGTGAGAAGGGAGATACTATTAAGGATACTGATGACCTGCAAAACAACTACCCAAAACTAACCCTGACCTCAACCAATTCTGAAATTAAATGTCGGTTTGCAGGTCAGGAGTGTCCGTATAGCCTTTCCCGTGGGAGAATGGATGGGACACAGACAGGCAGGCGTGGCTACGCAGTCTTTGTTATGTTCTCTCCCTCCTTGGCGGTCCAAAGCTCCTTGTGCTGCTTGCGGCCAAAGCCCTCGTCATAGTTTCCTTTGCTCTTGAAGAGTTGCTGGTAGTGTGGCTTGCAGTAGAAATCACCCGAGAGGGCAGCAAATGTGCCCAGGCTGCAGGGAGAGGGAAGGGAGGGGTAGAATATAAAGAAAGAGTAACACAGTTTGGTTTGGAGTGAGTGAGTGAGTCTCACCTGAGTTTGGTGTTGCAGTGTTTGCAGCAGAAACAGGCAGAGTGGAATATCAGGTTGTTAGCCACCAATCTCTCCATGGGGTAGACTGTCTTCTCACATGACGAGCACACCTCCCTCGGCGTCTTGAAGCTGAAGGACTACGCACATGAACAAAAACCACACCGTTACTATGGCTTCAAATGTGGTGTTTCAATGGATAAATGATGCATCATCTCAACTTGCTCAGTTATCTATAACCAATCTATCGAAATGAGTTGCTGTTGAGAGAGTATGTGACAACATATACTCTTATATAAACTGAAGTTCCATTATGTATGATGTTTAAATGACATCTGAGTAAAGGTCAGTAGGGGTGGGAGACACTGGGCTCGACAGACAAGTAATGGAGAAGGATAGTGATTAAAAGATAATGGCCTGCTGGGTTGAAACAGGGACAAAGGAGGAGGATGGAGTGATAATGGAGGTATATTTACTTTGGAGCGCTGGACAGGTTTATCTTCAGGGGCATTTCTGTTGTCCTGGAATAGAAATATGAGTAAACCTCAGTACTTTCCTAGTTAGTGTTATTACAACAGAAGTAGAAGCATGATCAGGATTTCCCCTGTTATATTGAAAATACCATGACCATAATATCCCTCTTTCATCTCAGTAGTTTCCCCTTTCCCGCTCTCTCCCTCCCTGCAGCTCCATCTGTCAGTGTACTGTACACCCCGGAGACTAGGTCAGCTACCTTCTGTCTGGACATGTGAGCAGGTACACTGAACACACAATCACAGGGTAGCACAACTATTTCAAATATTAACCCTAAGGGTGATATTATGGACATCCTTAGGAGACTCAACTTGCACACAGCACGGCTGTTTAAGAAAGCAATCAGTGCCAGTGTTACACTACATCACTAATCTGGAATTCTGATGTACTACTTTGAGTCAATAAAAAAAAGCATTTGTTACAACAGTACAGTGTGTGAGAGCTTGGCCTTAACAGAGCGGTCCATGCAGGTCTGTAGAACTAAAGGCCTTATGGAATGGAGGGCTCTGTCTCATTTCTCTACTCAAGGCTCCAAAGTCCTATGCTCTGATACAAACATGCATCCATTGACTTCCTGCTTCAACTTAACTCTACAGAGAGACCCTGAACACTCCTTCAATCCATGACAACTGCATGATACCGTACACAAACAAGTTACTTTCAACATACACAAATGTGGACTCCTAGACCGTACTGTTGGCACTGACTCCCTGTCAAAACCCATGAGGTATCATTTTGTCTGCCATATTGCCAACAGATGTTGTCCTAGCAGATCATTGTGGTGTGGATTAGAGTCGGTTTGAAACTAGATCACAAAAAAGTCAACGTCCACAGGGGTCAAGCAATAGGTCAAAGGTGCCTAGGTCTCAGCTGTCACACTTGGCTCCCAACACACCTGGTGAAGAACTATACTTTAAAGCTCTGTGACCATCGGCTACTGATGGTAGGCTTTGTTACTTTGGTCCCAGCTCTCTGCAGGTCATTCACTAGGTCCCCCTGTGTGGTTCTGGGATTTTTGCTCACCGTTCTTGTGATCATTTTGACCCCACGGGGTGAGATCTTGCGTGGAGCCCCAGATCGAGGGAGATTATCAGTGGTCTTGTATGTCTTCCATTTCCTAATAATTGCTCCCACAGTTGATTTCTTCAAACCAAGCTGCTTACCTATTGCAGATTCAGTCTTCCCAGCCTGGTGCAGGTCTACAATTTTGTTTCTGGTGTCCTTTGACAGCTCTTTGGTCTTGGCCATAGTGGAGTTTGGAGTGTGACTGTTTGAGGTTGTGGACAGGTGTCTTTTATACTGATAACAAGTTCAAACAGGTGCCATTAATACAGGTAACGAGTGGAGGACAGAGGAGCCTCTTAAAGAAGAAGTTACAGGTCTGTGAGAGCCAGAAATCTTGCTTGTTTGTCCGTGACCAAATACTTATTTTCCACTTTAAAGCTCTGTGACCATCGGCCTTCAGCAGTTTCTCCACATTGACGTCCACGGCCATGCCCTGAAGCAGGACTAGCAGGTCAATTAGCAGACAGACCGACACATTCAGACACACGCATGTAGGCAGACACAGTGAAAAGGCTGTGTCCGCTTGTGTGCAGGCAGAACTGCTCTCTGGGAAAGTCCACTGCAGACATCTCTAAAACTCTGGCTGTTATGTAAGGAGATTGGGGGTAGTGGTGGCGGAGGGGCTCCTCATTTGTCAGACAACTGTGCATTGCCACATTCTCGCTACAGCCCTTTCATGAAGCCTGTGCAGCTTCATGTGCAGCAGAAAGGAGGACATGTAGGCTACATGAATGCACACTGAAGGGGAGTGGACACACACCAAGCACTGATCCATGGGGATTTGGGTTGTTTACACCAAATCCAGCTCCTCATTGGGTCTGCTCAATTAGAACGCGTTGGGATGACCAGAAAAACTCCATTAAACTGGATGAAATAAAGTTGAGCCGTTACAAGTGGTTGAGAGTGAAATCCATCAGCCATTGATTCAATCAAATTACAGCCATTAGGGTCAATGGAGAGCTCCCCAAAAGCCCTTACACATCATCTAGCATGTGCACAGATGTGATTACAGTTTGGGAATCCAATTTGTATTCTATTCAATTGTAATTTTTTGCATCAGAGTAACCTATCGCTCACTCACTACTGAACCCTGATGTGAAAACCATGTCAGATATCTTTAAACTGAATGACTGAGGGAGGAAGCTGGGGTGTTGCCTCAGTTTGTGAGAACGGAATGATGGTCTGATGGAGGCACTGCAACTTCCTGTAGATGCAATCACAATCCCTCGCCAAGTCTCCTTCATTCTCATATTTGGGTAGGGTACAGGGTGCACTGCTTGGTTGGCTGCATGGTAGCTAGCATGACAAAATCACTTCCTGTTGCAGCAAGAGAGCAGCCCCTTCTCTCCAACTTGTAACAGTGAGAGAAAAGAACAGCCAGCACTGCTTAATGACTACATTAAAAATCACTCACTGGTGAAAAGCAATAGCCCAATTCACCTAAGAAATCCTCCATATGTAACTGCAAGGTTCACCCAACGGGTGAACAAAAAGGGGGAAACCATGTGAGTAACTCTCAACAGGAGCTTTATATTTCCTGTTATAGCACAGCACACAACGTACAGTACCTTACAGCAAAGTTGGTCAACAATTCAGGCTGCACAAGTTAAAATCTGCAGTCCAGAATTGCCATAGCCACTAAACAATAATGAAAACAGGATTAGGTGCCATGTCAATGGCAGGCACGTACATACAGTCAAACAAATCCTGGAAGGCTTCTACATGGCTGGTGCCATCGGTCTTCTTTTGCCTTATTTGTACATGAAGACACGCCACACCACTGACTGGAGCTGACATTGTGGCAGGAAGTAGTGATGACACAGACTTTAAGAGTCCCTGTGGGGAGCCTGCTACAGCTAACTGCCACCCCACTGGGCTTACAGCACAGGCTGATTACAGCAGATAAGAACTACCACAGGGAATGATCAGTGCACTGACCAAACCTCTCCTTAAATGGTGAGAAGGACATTGCACATTGCGGTGTGCCAACTCTGCTCACAACTAAAGGTGCTCAAAAACAGTAGGCTAGATGCAGGTCTGCCCATTAGATTAACAATGTAATTCAATTGCAATTTGGTCTACCCATTTAGATTTGTTTGAAGTTGGAACCACTTAAGAAAGTCTCCCGCTAGATACTTCACTGATAGCCTATCTTTAGCAACATTCAAATTCAGTCTCTTACCCTGTCATTTATTTACACTAAGCGGAAGAGACACCACATCTCTGTTTGAGTTTCAAGTAGGCTACACTTCATGTGTGATTCTTCTACGCAGCCATTTGAAGAGTTGGGCCCTGCTGTGCTGCACCCACAGTCAGATCAGGTTGAGACTCTCCCTCTCTGCTGACGAGCCCCTAATCTCATTACAATGACAAATCCCATTGCCTGTTCCCCCGGAGCTCAGGACCACACCAACAATGGCAGGGGGTCTGGGGGGTGACTCCACCCTGCCTCGAGTAGAGAGGTGAGAGGGGGCATGAACCAGGGGATGTCTGTTCAGGCCCAGGGAAACCACACTAGGGGCTAGCTCTTCTCTAATAAAAGTATTGAGGGAAGGAGTTTGGAGCGTCAAGTACCTGCTATGATTACCATTTTAGACTTTGAAAAGGTCAGTGTTATAAACCAGACCCCTGTCCAATATTTGGGTATGTTTATACAGATATATCTGGCCTAAATCTGCCCCTTTTAGAAAGGTTACAGCAACAGTCAGGAATATTAAGTCATGGGACGTCAATGTCTCCATCTACAGTAGAAAGGCTAAGGGACTTTGTGCTGGTAAGTTTACTTACAACGTTTCACCCCAGGCTGTGTGACTGACACACACACCACACACACACACCGAGCGAGAGATCACCCAGTGTTCTATTAAAAGACGCCTGTCCACAGAAGCAATCAATCAATCAGATTCCAAACTCTCCACCATGGCCAAGACCAACGAGCTCTCCAAGGATGTCAGGGACAAGATTGTAGACCTACACAAGGCTGGAATGGGCTGCAAGACCATCGCCAAGCAGCTTGGTGAGAAGGTGACAACAGTTGGTGCGATTATTCGCAAATGGAAGAAACACAAAATAACTGTCAATCTCCCTCGGCCTGGGGCTCCATGCAAGATCTCACCTCGTGGAGTTGCAATGATCATGAGAACGGTGAGGAATCAGCCCAGAACTACACGGGAGGATCTTGTCAATGATCTCAAGGCAGCTGGGACCATAATCACCAAGAAAACAATTGGTAACACACTACGCCGTGAAGGACTGAAATCCTGCAGCGCCCACAAGGTCCCCCTGCTCAAGAAAGCACATATACAGGCCCATCTGAAGTTTGCCAATGAACATCTGAATGATTCAGAGGAGAACTGGGTAAAAGTGTTGTGGTCATATGAGACCAAAATCGAGCTCTTTGCAATCAACTCAACTCGCCGTGTTTGGAGGAGGAGGAATGCTGCCTATGACCCCAAGAACACCATCCCCACCATCAAACATGGAAACATTATGCTTTGGGGGTGTTTTTCTGCTAAGGGGACAGGACAACTTCACCGCATCAAAGGGACGATGGACGGGGCCATGTACCATCAAATCTTGGGTGAGAACCTCCTTCCCTCAGCCAGGGCATTGAAAATGGGTAGTGGATGGGTATTCCAGCATGACAATGACCCAAAACACACGGCCAAGGCAACAAAGGAGTGGCTCAAGAAGAAGCACATTATGGTCCTGGAGTGGCCTAGCCAGTCTCCAGACCTTAATCCCATAGAAAATCTGTGGAGGGAGCTGAAGGTTCGAGTTGCCAAACGTCAGCCTCGAAACCTTAATGACTTGGAGAAGATCTGCAAAGAGGAGTGGGACAAAATCCCTCCTGAGATGTGTGCAACGCACACATAGTATAATGAAGCTGGCCCTAGATGTTGAAAGAGGCCCCATGTTAACAGACGTCAGTGGCAATTAATTTCAGTTAGTCTCTCACTCTCATTTTATTTTTAGGACGCTGACCTGCGCCTGATCCCCTTAAGCGAGGGATGGAAAATAAACAGTAAAAATGCACTATGGAGAAAGGCTACACAAGTCTCTTAAAAAGGAAAGTTTCACCCAATTTGAATGTTATATTGTTTATGTGCATCTGAGGGATTGATTCCCTGGGTCATTTCATATTTTCATATGCATCTGAGTTGTTGGCGTTCAAGCAGGCAGAAATCCGTTCGGTATGACGTAGCACTGTGATAAAGTCGCTCACACTACACTGGAAGTTAATAGGAATAAGACTTAAATCGCAAAAACGTCTATCACACATGTCAGATTTCAACATTCGGGAGGATATATTTTCTCGAATGAGCCATTGATCATATTTTTGCGATATTCCTACATCGAGAAATGTGTAATTTAACAGAGGGTATAGCTAATTTTCCCTATTTGCCTGCCTCTTTAGTCCAGGGTGCATTGCATGGTGCGGTTGCCAGAGGTATTATAGAAAGGAGATAGGAATCCAATTAATTAAGGAACGTATAAACGCCCCACCCAGCAGACTGTCGACCAATTGCATTCATGTTGTCATGCTGCGTCACGCGGTTGCTAAACTAATTGTCACGCAATCCCTTCTCAAAGGCAGTGTACATGTCGAGAAACGTGGCTATATGTCCTCTAAAGTATGTAATGTCACGATTCCAAAGCTATACGATATTACAGATAATTTAACTTTCTATCTCACATCTCTGAAAAGATTTGTAGTACTGTACTTCTTGTTGAATAAATTCGTGGCAATTTTGGGGTTTTGAGCTAGCGCCCAAAAGACTCCCATTCACTCCTTGAAGAAGTGCGCTCCTTGTCCCAGAATCGCCCAGAATGCACCGCGCGGCCCATGGACGTAGCATGGACAACGTTTCCCCATTTCCTCAAAAGTACTGTATATCTGCCGTTGTGAATGTCAGACTCCACTCTGAGGCACATCGATCTGCAGGTTGAACATGGTGAGATTGTAGACTCCTAAATTGATAGTGGAGTATGTTTAGGCGATTTCACAGCTAACTAGCTACTTTACATGCAGAGATTGTATTTGGTATGATCATTTGTAGCTACGTTTGCTAGCTAGCCAGCCAGCCAGCCCGCCCGCCCATAGAGAGCACTGCGGATTTTGTATTCGACTTGAGCTGCAACAGACTTCCACAACGATTTTCCATGTTGCTACCAACCTTACTAGAACGCCAAAATGAAAAATGTGTTTACAAAAATATTGTTCTCACTTAGTGTTATTTAACACCGTAAATTAAAAGGAATTAGTTGTTTTGGGTGGATTTTTCCTTTAAGCCGCACCCAATGACACACCAAAAAAGTTGCTTTTCCTTGACTACAAAGACATAATAATCCCCAGCAATTTAATAACTCAATTGAATGACAGTAGTAGTCCGAAGTGTCAAACGTGGCAATCATTTGAGATAACATATTGGCCAGTTCTCTTTACTTTTTCCATTCTTAGATTAGATTTTAATCATTTAGCAGACGCGCTTATCCAGAGCGACTTACAGTTAGCGAGTGCATACATTCTTCAGGGCATTTGCACTGCTCACAAAGAGAAAACAGCAGCTGTAGGGTACAAACAGACATATCATCCATCTCTCCTTGAGAGAATATGCAGAGACAGTAGGAACCATCAAAAACATACAGG